ACAACTGTAAATACATTGCGTTCGCCGACAAAGAGAGAAGTGGTGCGATAATAATGAGAAGAAGTGGTCAACTCTTACATTGTTATAATTACGGCGTTTAAGGAAAGTGTTGACAAATGTATTGATTTGGTCGCTATTTATTCGCTTCATTATATCATTACTTCATTATAGCACTCATTGAACGGACAGTAAATTGTAAAACATTTTCAATTGAAATACAATTCAATTCAAAACATAGTTTGCAATGAATTGTAAATACAATACAATTTCACTCAATATTTGGCTTCAAATGACACACAAAACACGTGACTTTTGTTGTCTGTTGAGTGTCTATGGGTTAGAGGTGTTAACATTGCAATACAGGTTAGGCTCAAAAGGCTATATTCCGGACTAACTTCAAGTAACTTTAATAAAGTTCATTATTTCCAACCATTTAACATATATGTGTATATTCTTCATCATATTCTTAAACCATTTAGCTATTTAAATGTGCCCATGCACAATCATGCACAGTTTGGTGCTGTATGCATGATTTATGTTATAAATAGTAAGGTTAACTTAAGTAAGGTTAACTATTCGATAATATTTAATTCATTTACAGTATATTTAACATTATATTTGCAAATATTAGCCCTAAATTATACATCTATTTGAATCTCTTACCAAAACTTTGGCCACTAGTGGTCACACATTCACAAAATATACAGTATATTAAGACATGGGATGGAGTTATGGGTGGGAAGAATGGGAAGGGTGTCAACACATTCCGTACATTACAACCATATTAACTAAATCTTTCAATTTATAATAATATACATATGTATGCAAACAATACATGCATTCAATAGTAATCAATGATTTCATGCGAAACTCAATTACCATAACATCGGTGTCGGTCTGAGCAGTGGTCGCATCGGCTCTCACTTCACTCATACGACCGGTTGTCGTATCCATGGATTCATCCATCGGTTCTTCATTTGTTTGACTCAACTCTTGATTCACATCCCAAATGATAATCGTTTGGTCGGAATCATTGGAAGCGATGGACTGGTTATCTGTCTTATCATCCAATGAATGAGAAGAGCCGTCCAATCGGTGGTCAGACCCGGACTCAGGCGGCCAGACATCGGGAGAGGGGGTCACCAGTGGTTGTGGTGTCTGTGGTCTCACATTTCGCACTAAATTAAGTCTTTTCAACACTAGATAACTGATGGTCTCTCTGTACTCGACGTCCAACTCATCCAAGAGATCAAACAAGTGTTTGGTTTGTTGTGCGCAAAGACAGGAGCACTGGGCGTCTTTCAAAGTGAGGACACATCGCCTATATTTGGTAAATATGGTGACAATGTCTTCATTCACTCGTCTCTCAAACGCCAACCGGTCCTTCACTTTCTTCAGCTCTTCGTTCAGCTGATCCAACACATCGTTGGACAACATCCCAGGCATCGGGTGTTTCGTGGGCTCACAAAACGCGTGCCTTTTGTTTGCGTTTTGTTTTTACAGCAAAAGTAGAGTTTGACTAAAATTATGGTAAAATTATTGTTTTTTATTTGTCAGTCAATAAGAGTTGAAACAGAAATCAGTCGAAAATACAGTTTTCAAAAAGTTGTGCAAAAAGTTTGCGGCAAATCATTGACGACAACGACATCTCTCGACCACAAGTTTGTCGAAAACTTTTTGTTTCCCAGAGTTTATGGAAATGACTGAACGGGTTATTGTGTACTAACTGTACATATATTAGCACTACTTGTACTGCCCTTAAGTACAGTTATACTGTTTTAATCAACACATACGGTATTAAAATGCCATATAAATTAATATATGTAGCATTGACATGAATATGACCAAGGACAATCCCTCCCCTAATCTCCATAATATATGAATTGAGAGCACTTTTTCCCATCGCATGCATGTATTGACTGATAAACATCGATCACATTTTGGTTTTACGTAAAAATAGCTTTTTTGAACATTTGATAAAGTTCATTTTTTGATTACAATATATTGAGTGTAAATTTAGTGTAAAATTTACACTACATTTGACTGTTGTTCTCAATACGAAACCAATTGTCAACCAATTGATCGCCGAAGAGATGGTGAATGCGTGGTATATGAATGATAATGACTCGGAGGACCAGCGAAGTGAACGCCATTTAAGTCCTCCACAGTTTGTCTCATTGGATGAGTTAAGCGATAAGACGGGAGTTTTGTATTATGCGGTATATTATGGTCTAATTGAGCGCAAAAATGCACTCAAATTATGTGAAACCAATGACTGATCAGTTGTTTTGCAGATTAATGCCGACGATTACGAAGCGGAGGGAAAGTTGGCCAAAATCCGAGCCGAAAGGGGTTATACTTATTCCGATTCGTTGGAGTGTTGTCCCCAACGACTGGACAATTATTTAGAGAAAATCAAGTCTTTCTTCACAGAACACATCCATTCGGACGAAGAGATTCGGTTTGTTTTGAACGGTTCCGGATATTTCGATGTCCGCGACAATGAAGACAAATGGATCAGAATTTTGGTTGAAAAGGGAGATCTGTTGATACTTCCGGCCGGTATTTACCATCGATTCACTCTCGATAACAATGTAAGTCAAGTGTCTCAATGAATATCACTATATATTTTTAACTGATTCTGTGATTTATATGAAAGGATTACATAAAAGTGATTCGTCTGTTTGTTGGCGAACCCGTGTGGACACCGATCAACCGGCCGGCGGACACACATCCCGCGCGAGTCGACTATTTGGCTAATTTGACAAAAGTGTCGTAAGAATCGTATCGCAGAATCAAACATACAATGAGTTTTATATTAATTTAATATCAATGATTGCATTTTTGATGATTTTTTAATTTTAACTTTAACTTAAAAATATGTTACAAAATAACAATTAAAAAATATACAGTAATTCTTGTTTGCAATTGTATTTCAAGTGTAATGAAATTTATTAGGAAAAACTTTAGCCCAAATTATATGCGTAAACAAATTAATTGCTATTAAAAAATGAATTGTTATTATAATTACATTAAATGATATTTAATACAAAATTGTTAATCCTATAAAACATGTGTATAATTATTATTAAGGAATTTGATTCCCAAACTAGAAATGCATTTACAGTACTTTATTGTAATATTTAAACTCATTATTAGTCAAGCGTTTTGTATTCACTCGTCTATTGAATTGAAACGCGGATTACTTTGTGACAAAAAATAGCGATCCATTCAATGAGAATTAGATCCACACGTGATCTCTCCCCTACTCTATGATCTTCTGTGTCTTCTGGGGTGCCAGCGATGGACCTAATCGTCAGTCAATCGCACAATAAAACAGAGTAATGACTTCATTATGAAAGTTATGGAAATATACTTATTATGAAAATAACAAAATCAAATAATAGATAAGTTTCTCATTTTGTTATTCAATGAGAAAATCCTATTGAAAAAATGTTTCTTTCTCACTTGTTTTCAAACATATTATTAATAAAAACATATAATTTGAGTGAACAGTAACTTAACAAACATAAAAAAGATTTTTTTTTCTTGTCGTCTAATAATAAGCGCACCGAATATAACAAGACATAAAAAATTTTGCTGAATTTAATTTAACGGATCGTTAATTAAGAGAGAAAATAATAATGTTTTATAAGTCCTCTTTGCAATTCCTATTTCAACAATTGACTTAACAAAATAAAAGATTCTCTCTCTCTCTCTCTCTCTCTCTCTCTCTC